AACCTTTAGAGAACCCCTCTTTAAGTAAATTATTCAGTCTTAGCTCAAAAACTTATGTTATTCACTATTCTCTAATTCCAATAATTAAAAAATAGACATAACATTTTGGTGCCCCCTCTGTGGATTTACTCGTCCATATTCTGAAATTTGAGAAGAATTCCGTTGCAGTGAATGAACGAGATTTACACATTCACTGGCGAACTGATCAATAATCATTTAGAACAACATCTCCTCGGAGAAGAATGAAACCCACTGTTATAACCCTATTGCCCGTTGTGTTACTCCCCTTTTCAAGAACACACTCTTCCTTTCTATCGATTTTGGCTTTGGATTGAAACCGCCGGAGCAAAATCGTATAACCGTATTTCACAACAGACGTTCCAAGAACTGGTTGATTACGATTATGACGAAGTTCACCTGACTATAATCTGTCAAAGAATTGTTCATTTATTGAACACCGTCCTATTTGGAGAATATCTAGTAGTAGACGATCAAATTCGGCTCATTAATTTCGTCTACGAAAGATTCGTTGGAATCCACACCAACGAGCAGAACAATTCTGACAACGAGAATCCAGAAGAAAATGATTCCAATGAGTATTACTCCGAAACAATCGATGCCGAAACGCAGACCGAAGAAAGTGACGAAGAAAGAAGATCCGAAAGATCAATTAAAGATGGGAATCTAATCGATTTCTTTAGTCCAGAAAACCCACATACCGACGACGAAGAAGAAATAATCTACATCGAGGAAACAATTATCAATGAAGATAGTGATACAAGCCAAACCGACGAAGAACAAGACGACGAACCCGAGCAAAGAGAAAGTCCATCCCACGAACAAGAAAACATGACCAACGTTAACGACGTGTTGAACGCCGTGCAGCAATTGACAGTCGCGTTGACCGGACAGAATGCCAGAGCCGTGGAAAAGATGATTATTCCAATGAAGAAATTCTGTGGAGGTGATCAAGATCCAGTTGCATGATTCAAAGACTTCGAGGTAGCCGCAGAAGTGAACAGAATCATTCCTGCAAGAAGGATTAGAATCGTGCGAGGATATTTGGAAGGACCAGCCACTATCTGGTTTGATGAATGAGCAGCAAACAATGTCACTGCGTTAACCGACTGGACAAACAATCATCATGACGAACATGATTTCAAACATCACTTCGCACTGAAGTTTCAGATCCATCAAAGATTAGACAAGTGGCAAGACGAGTTAGAAGAGTTACAGCAAGTCGGAACCGTAGACGAATACACTGATAAATTTTACGAACTGCTTTGTAAAGCAGACCCAGAGAATCACATACATGAAGAGAGCCATGTCTGTATCTACTGCCGTGGATTAAAATTAGAGTTACAAAAGTGGGTAAAAGTAAATTCAGACGGAATCCTGTTGAATACCATGGAAGTTGCCAAGAAAGCCGAGGAAGCTGAATTCGGACTGATAGCAAGATCATATCATCAGGCCAGCAATTCCCCAAACCTCCAACTTGATGAGCTGACGACTGCTCTCCGTGTACTAACCGTAGGCTAGAACATCTGGAAATGTCACCAACCCGCCAAAATATGTGCCAGAGTGGATATCCAGCAAGAACTACCCAATATAACAGACGGCCAATAACCTGTTACAATTGTGGACAAGAAGAACATATCAGTACTGGGTGTTCAAAATCGATTCCCACCAACAGTTATCAGCAAAATTGAGAAAACAGTTGGCGAGATCGCAATAATACGAATAATGGGAATCTGCATTAGCAAAACAACACCAGACCAAATGCATCAAGTGGATCAGCGAACAATGGACAAATAAACAACAATACTAATACAGCATTATTGATGCAGATCCAACAGCTCACCGATGCACTACAAAACAGAACAGCCACAAACAATTCTCTCTTGACCACTCACGAATATTTGATTGGCGAGAGAAAAACTAAAACCACTTCACGATATGATCCCCTTGGAAAAAGACCAGCAACCCGAAGTCAGACGATCGAAGATGAAAGAAAAAGTGAAGATCCAAAAAAAGAAAATCATGAGATGGAAGAAGACGGTCCATCCGAATTAGCAATCAAAAATAATAAAGACAAAAAGAAGATCAGAAAGAAGAAAGAAAAAGTCATCCTACCTGTACTCGCTTCCAAGACAATTCCCTATGACATCGCAGAAGATTTGGCAATAATGAAAGCCAACATTACGGTCACCCAACTAATCGAAACCTCTCCAGCTCAATGAGTAAAAATGTCTAAAGCTATGAGATGACCGATCCAAAAGAAAAACGTCAGACGAGCTACCAGAATGATTCTTCAGAAGATCAAAACCACTTCCGCTTGGTGTGAAGCCAAGGTCAGAATCACTATGATCGATTTGATTATTGATACTGGTGCGTCAGGATGCGTGGTAACTCAGCATTTTCTCCAAATCCAGGGAATCAAGATCCAAAGAAAATCCAATGTATCAATGACTGATATCAATGGTCATTCGAAACAGCCACTGGGAGCCATCGACGACTTGCTGATTATTATTGACGGGATCGTAATTCCAACCGAAATTGACGTTATCGAAGCCCGCACATACGTTGTAGTAGTCAGCATGGACTTCTTAAATAAGATAAACGCAAAAATTGACATAAAGAAAAGTTTACTTACCTTTGATTGGGATGGACAGAAAGGAAATGTCTCCATCAAGTACATTCACGGTCAGTGCACCAATTTTACTGATGAAGATGATAAGGAAAAATCTGAGAAAGAAGATGATAGTGAAAATTCAGAAGATGAAGAATCCGAATTCGAAGAACAGGATCTGGATAAGAAATCTTACCTGATGTTCAGTATGAATGAC